CATCCCAGCAGGATCAGGAAGGAGGTGGTGGCAATGTCTGATTTGCATGAACAGCCTGCTCTTGAAGCCATTCCACTAAGCAGAAAGAGTTCCAGAATCAATGCTCCAGGGAGAGTGAGCAATACTCCAAAGCCTATTGGTTAGGACACTTGTGGGGAAAGGGCAGTCCCCAACAGTCATAGCAGGGCAGATCTGTGCCAAAGTAGCACTGGCTCCTCCCATGATAATTGTGGCAATAGCTGCTTCTGCACCCTCCCTCTACCCCTGCAACAAGTGCAGCACCCAGGACCGCTGACCCCATCACCCCTTTCAGTTCATTTATTTTACATAATAGTCATTAAAATAGAAGCTCACCACTTTCAGTTCCATTTTAAGAGAAGAGATCAAGCCTTCCTGAGTTATGAGAGAGACAGAGAGAGAGAGAGATTGGTGCTTAACTTCAGGACAGAGTTTGAGGGCTGTAGTTGTCAAGTGGATGGCAGTGCCACCCTGAAACTTTAAGGAAAGCACCTGAGTCTCAGAAAGGTGGGACTGCAGATGCATCTTTTTATTCAGCTCTTATTGGCTAGCCTTAGATCTTATTCTACTTCTCTCCATGCACTATCCAGAAGTCCATGCAGCCAGCACAAGGTTCTGTATTCTACTCTGGGATTAGGAGCCTAGAAAAGTTAGGCATTTCAGTGGCTCAGTTCTTCATTAGATCTAGCCCTGAAAGATAAAGGCCACATAGTAAAATATCACAGGTTAGTAGATGGAAAAAGCTACATACTTTGCTGAGAAAAGACAGGCATTCCCTGACAATGTAACAGTTGGATTAAAAAAAAAAAAAAAAAGACGACGACAGTTTTATGGCTAGTCAGCTGCAAGGCAATCAGAATTTTACAACAGTAATTTCTAATCTTTTTCAAACAGAGTCAAGAATAGAGAAGGGAAAGATCTGCCCTTTTAAACTGTTGTTCTCTTGCAACTCCTGGAACACAGAAAAATGTGCTGACTTCAAAGCAAAGTTGTAACCTGCGCAATCAGTATCACATAGTAAAGCATTTTAAGATAATGAAGAGAATGTTTCACCTGCCAATCTGCTTCTGTCTTCACCTGCAACTACAACAATCCAGTCTCTCTGAATTGTAATTGCTGTGGCAGTACTGGCCAAATTGGCAATGTTTGCTATTGTGATGACCAGGATGTAGCAGAGAGTCTAGGGAAATGGAAATAAAGTATGAATGAAATGATGGACCAAAGACAAAGACATCACCACCATTTTTCCTTACAACCCAAATTAGAGTATTTTACACTGTAAACAATTTGCATGAGTATTATTATTCAGATAGGACAATAATAATTCTTCTTTAAATGATGGGTTTTGGTTATAAATAGGTGGTGATCACTTTTCTTCCACAAACAATAGATGGAGTTAAATCTACCTGATCTGGCACTACTGGCAAGGTATCCTTTGACTCCACTGATATCCATGGGTGCAAGGGAAGGGAGTGGGGGGTGGGGAAACAAACAAACACAGCACACATTCTGTCAATACAACTGCCAATTCATAGTTCCTGAAGTCAGGATGTGGTTCTGCAAGTGAAATCCATAGCACCACTAAAATCTGTGGAGTTTTGCCATCGAGTTTAAGGGTGCTAAAATTTCACGAATTTTAAGGACCACAAAATTGAGATACTTCCATTCCTACATCTTAAACAAGGAAGCCATAGTCCCTTATGATTGTTGTTAGAGTCATTCACTACCATGGTCACTAGACTTGTATTAAGCTATTAATTGTTATGATACCAACAGTATTTGACAGTTTTAATCCTACAAAGGATTCATGTAAATATTCCTCATTTCTTCCCTCCCTGAAAACAAACACTTCCTTCTCACAGACGTAAGAAATATTAACATTTGAGCACTTACAAGAAGCCATCCATGGTATAAGGTCAAAAGCTGAGCCTTAAACAGGAAGACAAGCATCAAGATGATACCACATACGATGACAGATGCATTCTGTACAACCAAGGATGTCCGGGCCACTATTTCAGGTAAAAAAAATAAAGTCCTAGGTTTTAGTACAAATGATGTACAGCTACCTACTATGCAAATAGGAGTGTTCTCACACATTCTTTTAAAGAGTTTATTTACAAGGTAGAATATTTTCATGTACAGAGATTTAGTTTTATGTAGTGCTTTGACTCAACTGTAGTCCTGTACTCTATACCTAAAGTCAAATCCAGCTTTTTCGTGATTTCTTTAACCTAATGATATAATGCAACTTAAACAGGTATTTCTTCCATTCACCTACACTTCAAAACAAATCCCAGCTATTTAAATACTGACACTGTTTTTAAAAAGCAGCTAGTAGAAAAACTACTTAGGAATCGTTTTTAATGGAAGCAAGCATTATTGTGTAAACCATGTATTTAGAACCATTTTTAAAGTAGTAGCTAGATTACTTAAAAATGAAAATGCACTATTAGACAATTAAGAGGTAACTAAGAATACACATTAGCATTTAAAGTTAGCAGAGCAAACAAGCAGCTGCAAGATACACAGATGTGGCTGACAAAAGGAAAAGATCCAGTGACAATGAAGTTAGGTTGCTAGATTATTAGACTCCAGGGAACCGAGTCTGTTGTTCTTAGGCAAAATTCACAGATTTCACACTATCGTCTCTCTCCATCTAGTTACAGTAGGAGTTTGGCCTCCATAAGGAACAGATAAAAGATAAAACAAGTTTTATGTACCTCTTTGATACTGTCCCTGTAGAATGGTTTAATATTATCACAATATGATGCTGCTAAGCTTTCAGATTTCTAGAATGTGAGCAAGCCTGATCTCATCATATTTAATATAAGGAGTCTTTGTAGCATGCTACATGCTGACTCCTGTTTTGCATAACTTCCCCTTTTAATAGATGTTGGTCACCTGTAAACAAGACACTGAGGTTGCTGACCTTTAAGCCTTGAGTTCTTGTCCACCCAGTCTCCAATAATGGCTCCCAAAAGAAGGACTGATCCTGCCACAACTAGTCCATAGACTGCAGTCAAAAGCAAGCTGTTTCCATAAAGTTCAACCAGGAAGACAGACACTGCAAAATGCCACATCCGATCTCCCTTTAATAGAGGGGAAATAAATAAATAATAGATCATTATTTACATTTTGATATCATTTTCATGTCTCATCAGGATAACCACACACAAATACACTCACATACTAATAAAAACCCAATCATGTGACCATTCTATACACAAACCTTGCTTGTGTCTAGATCAGTGCCCAATTAGGCTAGAGACAAACATTACAAATAAACCAATTTAAGCGATCAGAAACTGGTTTAAACCTGTAACGGAACAGACATTCAGTGCACATAAACCAGTTTGAAAATGGCTGAAGCCAGTTTGAGATAAGCCGAGTTGAATGTAGTATCAGACTTAACTGATCTGGGTCAAACCAGTTTATGCAATGTCTGTCCCAGACCTCTTCCTAGTTTAACTTAAACCAAAGTCCTCTGCATCCCAGATGCTTTGCAGCTCCAGGGAGCTGGGCTGGCCCTTCCCCTCCACTCTCTGGCTGGAGCTGCAGAGACAACAGGCACAGCAGGTTCTGCCTAGCTTCTTCCTGCTCCATGCCCCCACCCTTCACTCAAGCAAGGATCTCACAGCATGGACCATAGCCAGCATGTGGTATGCTAGCTTATGCCGAGAGGTGTTTAGGTAAGGTGGACAGGACAGTGTCTACTTAAGGCTTTTTGGAGCTAAAAGGAGAGCTTGAACTAATGAGAAAGGCTTTTTTTTCTTGATGGGTTGATAAACACTAGCACCCCCGGCTTCTAGCCTGAGCCACTACAGGCATATGCCTGCTTTTCTTCAGTCCAGAGGGGATGTCTCTACAGATACAAACTGGTTCAGCCTAGCCAGGTTAGACTAACCTGCAAAGATTGAATCAATTCAGGCTCAGGCTTTTTGAATGTCTGTCCCTAGCCTTAGTGCCTCATCCTGATGCATCATAGAATGTAATTTTTTCTATGGTCATATTATGGGTCAAGTTCTGTACATGACTCCAGAACTATTAACCTGTGTATAAATTCTCCCACTACAGAATACTCCACCTATTGCCTATAGTGGTTTAACCTCACCAGACCCAGTGCTTTTAAAATTATACAAAACTTTTTTCCACCTTTGAAGCTTTTGTCTCACATGAATGAAGCAGACTGTTTGTTATGAACTCCAACTGTGCAAGTTCAGAGAGACAATGTCAACTTTGAACAGCATTTCCGTCTAAAAAACATTTCGCCTCCAAGTAATGTCTAGAGACAACTATTAACCAGAACAGAACAGTATTTCTGTTGCACTGTAATTTCATTCTTGTTTTTTCCTTCCCATTTGAGAGAATATGATATTCTCACTCCTGACTTCATGCATTATGCTTCCACCCTTACTTTCTTAAAACTCATTGCTTCTCTGAAGCAAAAAACCTTAGCAGAAAGGTAGATAGTAGTGTTAATCTGAAGTCAGGCAGAAGGCAGGGTAGATATGCACTGTAAAGACTAACCAGTATTATTTTATATATAATATAAAAATAGATGAGAAAGGGAGAGAGAGCATGACTACATGCACACTTTTGAACGCATGTTCATGAAAACTTGTGCTCTATGAGTCTTATTTAGTCTATAAAAGGTGCATATCTATCCTGCCATCTCCAAAAAGAAACCTTAGTCCTTTGAAATCTTTGATACACTACTTGGTCTTGCCTTGGACTTAAATAGAACCTGGATTTCACCCTCATTTTCTGACTGTATTGTTGTAGTGTCAACCTGTGCCTAATCCACGCTTCTTGAATATTCAAACATTGAAAAATATTTGTATGTGCAATAAATACAAAACTGCCTTCCCTATAATCAAAATCCTAAATTACAGGGTGTTGCCAATTCTGCTTTTTACATCACTTCATCCACATGAAGCTCAATACAAAGTGTGAAAGAAGCGTTATTGCATGCCTTAGAGTCCATGCAAGTGGTGGACATTTAATTCTCACACAGCTCTGTAATAAGGCCAAGTGCAAGAATATTTCATTTAAGCACTAAACATTAAAGATTAAAATGTTTTCTTCGAGGAATTTTTCAGCACATTTTCTAAATGATGGAGCAAAAGAATACTCTTAAAGCATTGCACGCTGGAGACTGAAGCCACCAGCCTTCATGGTCCCTCTCGCTGGCCCCAGAAGCATGGGAGAAGGAAGAGACAAGCTGAGCTAGGAAGTAGGGCTCTTCTGGCCAGTGTCTACCACTGGCAGCATGCTAGCAGCTGGCAGAGATGCTGCCAGTGTTGGAGAGAAGTTGGTGGGGGCAGAGAGGCAGGGAGCTGGGGCGGAGGGTTGGCTAGCATCAGGAGTGGCTGCAGAAGATGCTTGTCAGTGGGATACTGGGGTAGGCATGGGATGATGAACAGGGAGAGGATAGTGCTTACCTCCTCACATAGGCACCAGAGCACCCTTAAAAACATTTGAAAGGTTTTCTTCCTTTGAGTATCCTTTTAAAGAAGCAGTGCTATGCAGTATAGCTAATAAAACTATGGTAAGGACTTGAAATGCAGAGTATTTCAAGATGCACTAAGAATGCACCAAGATTTACTGGAACTGACAGCAAAAGCTTGTCATAAGTTAGGCAAGCCAGTAAAGGGGAAAAAAGCATAAGTAGTCACACTATATTTGGGGCCATAATAATAATAGCTGGTGAAAGCATATAGAAGTAATAGTAGCATATATGCACTCTCCTTACACTCAGTGTAGAATTTGGCCTTTGGCTTTTACTAGGCGTGCACACTGGGGAGTCTTGTAAATAAGGGTTTCCCATTCTGCAAACTCATCAATGTAAACTCATTTATGCCATTCCCTGTGAGACCTGTCAGAACCAGAACCCAATGAGGCTGAAATAAAATTAAATGTTTTCTACATCAAAATGAAGTTCTCCCCCAACCCCTGACCCTACTTGATGACTGACTTAACAACTGAGTTTACTTTTGTAGAACTCAAATCAAGGTTTCCTCTATAACAGTCACAGAAGAATAAGTTGATGTATTTTCCTGATTTTAAGGATCAGTGAAATTCCATGAGATTTAAACTACTCCCTGGTCAAATTTCACTTATAAATAAATGAAAGTCATCCTCTAACCATAGAACCTGGATAGCCTATTTACTTGTTTATTAAAATAAGAAACTAATGCAAAAGAAAATCACTAAAAGGGATCTATGCTGCAAAGCTTTTCTTGTTTGGATGTAGCTAGATAAAAAAGAAGAAAAAATACAAAATTTCATTAAAAAAGGAAAGTAGTCAGCACTGATGACCATTATACTTAGGATAAAAAAAAAAAATCTGAGCCCTACAGAAGTCAAAAGCAACGTCCTATTGACTTCAGTCTACTCAGTATTTCATTCATAGTTTCCACAGGGCACCACCTTGCCATCAGCAACTAACCCAAATATATACAAAGTACAACCTTCTCTTCTTGGTTCTTTACATCTGTATTATGCTGTATGAACCTTTGTTAGCTTCATCAATGCAATAATGTAAACATCTCATATACACTGCAATATTGATCAGAAGAAGTGAGCTGATGAAGGATTTCTTGCATTCAAAAGAATATCTAACCTTATCCCAACCATGCAGTTTGTCCAATACCCCAAAAAATCCTTGCCTCTCAAGTAATTCCTGGACCATCACAGCTCCAACCTCACTCTAATACTACTATTGATCAGAAAAAACAACTGATGCAGGATCAGCAGTTAGACTTCATCATGGCCAAGTAACTTCGCCCAGAGTACTTGGGTCAGAATAATCTGCATGTACCTGGCTAATCTGGAAGAATCTGAGGCTGTTTCCAACAGAAAGGCATATTTGTTTTTAAAACTGATTTTTTTTAATTGCCAAAACAGAGATTATCTGTTAGTGGCAGAAAACATAGCTGAATTATAAATAAGCAGTTACAGAACAATTATGCTTTAAGCTACACTAGGACTCAAGAAGTTTTAATAGTAAAATGTACCCTCCAAGACACAAGTCACTTTAAGAGGCTTTATCCTGTTCTTCTTGAGATCTTTCATTATGGAACTGAAACCTCTTTCTTCATGAAAAGTTATACTACTTAAATCTAAACATTCGTTAAGGTAGTTTTTATTTTTTCTATTATTCACATATTACCATATGCCTACCACCAAACCAAATGTGGTTTGATCTCTGAAATTTTACAATCTCAGGCCTCATTGTTACTTAGCATTCAAAATTCCCACGTGGTCTTCCAGCTACAGGTACAACCAAGGGTTTGTGGCTGAACACTCCACAAATACAAGACCACAGAAACCAAATGAGAGGAAAGCATTCATTCATTCAGCCCCACTAACTGCTGATCTGGCAAGAGGCAATAAGGGGTATCAAGGCAACAATTCAACAAAATGTTTCAGCACGTGATTAAGAGCTGCTGAATAATAAAAATCAAGCACAAGCTGAAGTGCTTTGCTGAATTTGTCTACATCTCTAAATATTAAGGGGAATGAGCAACTAGTGTTTTCATGTTCCAGTCCCATCACCCTTACTCATGCTGAGAGATCTTACCTTGCTCTATAGGGAGTACCACTGTTGATTTCAGTGGGACAAGTCACAGAGGAAGGCACCACACAACAGAAGGACAGAATCTGGGTCAGATGGACTACTGGTTTACATGCTTTTTTGGTTTTGGGGACAGAACAGTCCTCGTTTCTATGAAAAAAACATTTTGGGGCAAGATAACAACCACTGCTAAAATGTATTTCACCTATTTAAACAAAAGTTTGATATTTGTCCAAACTTCCTTCCATTAGACACTACGCTGTGACCCTTCTGTTTAGTCAGTGACACACTGCAAAGAACTAGGTGTGTAATGCAGCCAAGCTCAGTTTTGTGCAATGCACACATCAAGGCAGTCCCTCGCTTAGAAGCTTATATAGCAGAAGACCAAGGCAACAAAGGCATTCTAGAGGAAGAAGTTACTTTAAAGAGTTTAACAGCCTTATTAATCCAATACTAATCAGTTATTTAAAAGATAATAGATTACCCACACACTTAAAAAAAAATTAACATTTCTCTCTATTCTTAAACTATGGCCTATTTTTTTCCATATATATCTTTATAAAAATTGAAGATAACTATGTCTAAAACTACTTTCCAGCATAACAGATGAATCTCCTTTTGCAGTTTTAGGACTTGTTTTTTAGAGACCAAACATACAATGTTTCAACAACCAAGTATTTTATTAGAGGGGGAAATGGTAGTACCAAAAAGCACAGGTTTGTTAGTAAATGCCAATGACTGCAAGAGCTACTATTGATCCATTGACCCATTACTGAATATACTATACCTCCTCACCAAATCCTTCAAATGATTAGATCCAGGTCACTGCATTACAAAACATATTTTGTTTGGGCAAGGCTCACATACTGTACCTAGTCTTTACTAAATTGTAATATTACCTTAGTCTATAACAAGCCTTACTGGTTTCAGTAAGGCTGCTCAGAGAATAAGGTATTACTCAATGTATAAGGAAACAGAATTGGCTACTGGACACTCCTGAACACTGTACTTCTGTTAGAATACTGCCAAGCACACCGTAGCACATCTTCTGGATAGCATGGAAGATACCGAGAACGCTTCCCCAGCACTTCGCTGTCTTTGCTGACAAATCAGAACCACCTTTTTCCTTGTTAAAATACAAACAGGATGTAGAAGGATCAAAATGCAAATTAATACCATTTCACTACACGATGTAACTTTTTAAAACTTACCCAAGTGGACAGTGCATGCCCAAGATAAAGAAGAAACTTTGCAGATGTAAAATAAGTGATCAAGGAGCCTAAGTTGGGAAGAAAAAAGAAAAAGGAGACATGCTAAAGAGAAACAGAGTAATTTTGCCAACTTTTTAGCGCACATGAGTTTTATGCCATCTTAAAGTCAGCTCCCTAGTGATGAAAAGGTGGTCTGTGGCTCACCAGTGGTCCACAGCCGATCCATACCTCCTGCCTCTCTTTACAACTAAGAGTTTGATGCTAAGGGTGCATGATGGGCTACACAAAGTTTTGAGGGCTGTCAGTGGTCTAATCATCCAATGAGTTTATGACCTGACAAAGAACATCCTGCATTCTTTTGAAAGCTTGTCTACCTTCATCCCAGCTACGCAGCTGGTCCAATGAAAGATATCACCCCAAGAAATCGTGGAATCACAAAGCTAGGCATTGACACAAACAGATTTGCCTGCATGTGCTGCTCAGACGGGCACGGTACTTCTTCCGTCGTGTCCCTCCCTGTGGTTCACCCAACCGCCCTTTAGGAGCTCTGCCAGAGGGGACAAACAGGAGGGAACAAAGACTATCAGAGCAAATTTACCTGACTCTGCACTAAGTCCTCTGGCCCGACTAGTCCTAGAGAAAGGTGCTGCTCCACAGGAGCGAAGGTGGCACGTAGCTGTGCACCATCTTTACCGCCTGGACAGCCCATGACACCCCCTGCATCCCTCCCCACACACCTGCCCGTGGCTACAAGCTACCACCAGGACCTGCACAGGGTGTAGCTCGCCTCCAGCCTGGGGGTCGCACCGAAGCCCCCTCAGCCTTGGCTCTCCCTGGTCCCTGCCCCAGTACCTGCCCCGTGGTACTGACCGCAGCATCCTGGGCCGCTCGCCTGCTCCGCGGCCCCGCTCATGTCCGCCCGCGCGCAGCCCCCCGCCAAGTCCCGCGCCGCTGGGGTCCCCTCAAGCACCGGCGGAGCAGAGGAGCCCGGAGCAGCGGGCACGCGGCAGCCTAGGGTGGGTCTTTCCCAACTTAGCTAGCACTGTAGCTGAAGTGGGAAAGCGATAGCCTTATGGGCAGGAGCGGCGAGGAACTGCAAAGGCGAACGAGGGGCCCAGCCAGGCTCAGCGCCCGGCTCATCGGCATGGCCCCGCCCGCCGGCCGGGGAGGTCGCCGAGGTGAGCGGGAGCGCTGTCCCCGTGCCAGCCGCTGCCGCCTCTCCCGTCGGGCCCTGCCCTGCCCCGCGCCCCAGGGGCTGGGGGGCAACACACCAGGGCGGCTGCTTGTGGTGGTGTCGGCCTGGCCACGTACTTCTACTACTAAGCTGCTCCACGGAGATCACTGAATCTTGCCTGTGCCTCGGAAGCCGTCTCTCTGGCAGAAGGCGGACCTCCGCGCAGAAAGCCAACTTCGCCTCAAATGCCCGCGGCAGCCCTCAGATGCCCGAGGAAATGAGCGCTCGAGGATCGTGAGATCAAGTCTGAAACCAAGCTCACGGTTTCTCAAATAGGAAACGCCATGTATCTGGGTCCATGCAGACAGTTTTCCTCAAGCACCCGGGGGATAACTGCTCTTCTTGTTGGCTTAGTACCCGCCGAGGTGTTGGGGCTTTAAGCCCACTTGATGGAAATGGGAGGCTTCTCCCTAGCTTGCTCCTGTGGGCGTATGGCTGAGGGCAGGCAAAACTTGGTGGCATCCGAACCTCCGGGCTTGGGCCTGCACATAGGACGCCTGCCAAAAGACTTGGAAATATCTGAAGGCCCTGGTGGGGGTGGAGGATGTTTGCTGGTTGTACGGCCACGCATGGTTCTGGACTGACTCATGGATTTGGACTCGATTTGGATTGGAACACCAAAAATTTCTTAAAAAAAAAAAAAAAAAAGTTAGTTGTGATGCCCACCTTCCTGAATGGAGTGGGGATGTGGAAAACATAGAGGAGACACCTCAAGTCACTGGCACGTGCACCCCCTGCAAAAAGTGCCACCAACGCTGCCAGTGGCACCTGTGGGTGGTCACCACTTGCCACCCCCTACCACCACTGAGAACGCTGGCGGCATCTGTGGGTGGTCACCACCCCCCGTCCCGACACCACCGCAGCCCCCTTGCAGGAGCTCTCTGCTCACCGCCGACACACTAACACTGCCACCACCGCCTGCAGGCAGTCGCCATGCTCCCCCAGCTTCCAAGGGCACGCAGCATTCATGCTTCAAGTCACTAGAGAAGTACTATCAACGCTGCCTACGAAAGACCTTTTGAATCCAGTAGGAAGACAAATACACCAGCATTAGTGTCCTCATTCATGGGAGACAATCATCCTTAACTGCAAGGGAAGAATACAACAGATAAGGATGGAGTGACTTGGACTGGGATGATCTCTGGATGTCCCTCCCAGCCCTTTTTTTCTATGATTTTGTGATATGGGGGGTGCTGAGAGTAGGGAGAATCAGGGAAGGCAGAGGCCTGCAGTCCACTTGTGCCTCCCCGTCCAAAGATGAACAGGCTTGAAAATGCTGTGCGGCTTTCCAGCAAGGTCCAAAAGCATTTACATTCTGATACAAAAACACCTAACCAAGAACTAAGAGTGTCCTGAATAAAGTAGATGTTGGCAATGCCTCACAACAGGCCACTCTGGATCTCTTTGTTTCTTCCACCTTGTATTGTAACTTGAAAATGACAGTCCTCAGAACACACCAGCTTTCAGAAGCTACAAAACAATTGTGCTCACTCACATTTACCAAGGAGGCATGACCCTAAAGTTAAGAGAAGGGATAATGGAAAGAGTTCTGCCAGCAGTGAGCTATTATTCTGAGTAAATAATATTGCACAAAGCTTCAGAAGCTTTCTGACAGAAGCAATTTATATATGACCTCTTATGATCCATTCAGACAGGAAGAAATTCATCAAATCTTGTGATTCCAGTATTGCCAACCCCAGGAATTTAATCACAAATCAGGTCCCAAGTGGTCATGAAATTGACTTAAAGTCATAACAGTTTGAAAAATAATACCTTGTTTTTTCCCTGTTTTTTAGTCTTTAACTTTCAATTTTTATCAAGGACTTGAAAAAGTTTTTTAAGGAAAACAGCAATATCATGAAACCCAAGGTAAAATCATAAGAGCTGGAAGTACTTATATTCTGAGGTTTCAAAGGTTGGATGCAGCCAAAGTGACCTGCAGTAGAAAGCAAGAAACCAGCAATTGGTTACTTAACAAAGATACCATTGTTTTCTAATACATGTGGAAACGAATTATACTTACTGCATAAAAATAAAGTTCATAGTGGTTCCTCTAGCCTAGAGGTAGCCTTAACTCTTGTATAGATTTCATTATACTTCTTTCCATACCATAAGATCAACCTGTGGCATTGGCTGCCAACCAATATTCCAGAACATAATTGTAGAATCATAGGGAAGTAGGGCTGGAAGGGACCTCATAAGGCCATCTAGTCCACCTCTACTCAAAGCAAGATCATTCCTAACTAAACTATCACAGCCAAGTGTCTGTCCAACCCGTTCTTGAAAATTTCCAAGGATAGAGATTACGCTATTTCTCTGGGTAGCCTGTTCCATTGCTTAGCCACCTTCATAAAGTTCTTCCTAATTTCCAATCTAAATTTCCCCTGTTGCAGCTTGAGCCCATTGCTCCTTGTCCTGTCCCCTATACCCACAGAGAAATCTAGTCTCCATCTTCTCTATAATCACCCTTCAGGTATTTGAACTGTTAACAAATTCCCCCTCAGTCTTCTCTTTTCTAGATGGGATAACGCTAGCTCTTTCAGCCTTTTGTTGTATTGCTGTAGCTAAAATTGCTTTAATTGCTTTATTTTCCTATTATAATAAATTACTGAGCTATTAAGATAAAGTTAATTTCATTATGATTTATTTTTCATAATATTTTAATTAATTATTATTCTGTATCAAATATTAAATAACTATAGAATTAACCATTTACTTTAAATCCCCTATTGCATAAATATATCTGACCTGTTGGTCTCATTATTTTAGAACTTAAATTTAATATAAGAAAAATGTTTATGTAAGGTCTGCGGTATGTCTGGTATGCTTGGAAAAAGGTAATGAAAGAATAAGTGATGTATGTATGTGACAATGTGAAGGAAGACAGTCCTCTCACAGCAGGTGAAAATAGCCTTCTATGATTTAACAGTTAAAGGCTGCAGCAATGTCAAGTCAGCAGTTAAGGATTACCAAATCCTAAATCATACCTTCACCTGATGGCTGAAGATTACAAGCAATGACTCCCAAAGATTGCAGACCACAAAGCCAGAAGATTTCTTGTGGCTCGTCTAGCTAGCCACCAGACTGACCTGAGCATCTTTAGAACTTGGTACCACCTTAACCTTTGCAGGACTGTCTAACCATCTGTGTGTGTGCTTGTTTCTTTTGTATGACTGAATGAATAGACGAGTATGTATGGGAATGAGTGAAGCAGACAACCTTACTGTTCTTTATTCCTTTTATGTTTTATGTTCCAATAAATGCGGCATTGTGCCTTATCTCCAATAAGATTCCCGCTTGTTTTTAATTCACACTGTATATTCTGCACGTACAACACTTTCCTCACAAGTCCTAATCATTTTTGTTGCTCTCCACTAGACTCTTTCCAATCTGTTCACATCCTTTCTTGAAGTGTGAAGCCCAAAACTGGACACGGTACTCTAGGTGAGGCTTCAACAGTGCCAAATAGAGTAGAAGAATCACTTCCCTGGATTTGCAAGCGACTCTCCTATTAAAACAACCAAATATGCTGTTGCCTTTTTTTGCAACAACAGCACACTGTTGGCTCATTAGGGTCTACTGTAACCCCCAGGTCCTTCTGTGTAGTACTGCAGCCTAGCCAGTCATTCCCCAGTCTGTATTTGTGTATGCAATTATGCAGGACTTTACACTGGTCTCTGCTGAATCTCATAGCGTTGATTGCAGACCGTTTCTTCAGTCTGTCCTGGTCATTCTGGATCCTAGCCCTGCCCTCCAGAATGTTTGCAACTCCATCCAACTTTGTGTCATCCACAAATTTGCTAATCATGCAGTCAGTCCCATCATTCAAATTATTAATAAAAGTGTTGCGCAATACTGGATTTGGGACAGACCTCTGGGGAACCTCACTTGATAGCTCCTCCCAACTAGATATCTATTAATCCTAATAGAGTTTTTGCAGATCTTAAAACAGGGTAGATACATATGTGAACATGTGTAGTTCCTCTAGAAAACAAATTATGCAATTGTGTTAAAGAATATTGGTTATCAAAGCATGACATTTGAATGTGGGAGCCAGGTAGGAGATAGTTTTCGTGTTGTGTAACATTGCAAAATTGCCCTGGGGTATTTATGGAAGGAAGTTTTCTTCCTCAGAAATACAGACCATTGCCAGAGGCAGAATACCAAACATTATGGACAAACAACCAGTACTGGTATGACCATCCTGTAATCCTTTTCAAAGTTTTTCTTATACCAATGAGGTAGATACATTTTGTATCTATGAATCATTGTTTACCCTTTGCAAAAAATAAGAGCTCTACCTCTTGAAAAAATATAGTACAGAAATAAGAATGAACATAAAAACAGGAAGTCTACAACTGCTATTTTTATGGAGAGATTTGTTACTCAGAAGTGAGTTTAGTAGTTTCTTCATGGTATGTATTGGTATCCTTGTCTGTGGGGGTAGAACCAACATATCTTCATTGAAGGCAACGTCAATGAGTTCCCAGTTTTTAAGGGCATCCATAGATCCATTTTTGTCTGCCCCTAGGTTCCAAGAGTTAGGCTTCTAAGGCATTTATACATGTGCTCCAGGAGTGTTTGTGTAGGAGGGATGGTGAGGGGGGAAAAGCGCTTTAATTAGAGTGGCTCCAAGAGCCACTGGGCTGTAGCTTTACCCCACTCCAATCCTCCACCCAAAATGGTGCAGCAGGGACAGGAATGGCAGGAGGAGGAGCTGCTAGAGGTGAGGGAAGCACAGCAGCACCCAGTCAGCTGCAGCTGCACTGGGAACAGTCCCACCAGAAGCTGCGTATGGTGCCTGGGGCTGGCAGGGCTGTTCTGCTCCCCTCACCTCTAGCTGCAGCTCCTGCCATGCCACACCGTTCCAGGCTAGTAGAAGCTTCAGCCTGGCAGCT